GGTTGGACTAGATGATCTGTAGAGGTCCCTTCCAACCTTAAATATTCTGTGAATCTGTGAATCATGGGTTGCTTCTACCACACATCTTTTCCTTTGCTATTTTATTCATAATTATTTTTAAAGGGGAGCAAGATACTGAAAACAGTCCTGTTGCTCGTTATGTTTTGCTCAAGCTGTGAACAAAGCTGTCTGGGTGACTGATAACATACACTCTGTTAATAAAATCCTAAATCCAAGCAGCCTGTTTTTTCCTAGTAGTATATGCTCTTACCTTTCCTTWGCACCTGTTCTTTACATTTTTTTTCTATTTCCATTGGATATTTTTAGTAAATGGCTTAAAAACAAAACAAGGCCTACATCCCCGTATAGAGCTGGGAGGGGATGAAGGTGGCTGTGGGAAAGATGAGAGGCTGCCCTTTCTCCGTTGCCCTAACGGACACATTTTCACCTCTGCCAGCAGATGCTGAAGAAAGGGCCTGATCCTCAGTCACGAGGCACAGTGAGAGTAAATAACTTTATTGAAGGAAAAAAGGGGCAGCAACATTAAGGTTTAATCAACACTCAGCTACTGTTAAATGGAGACACTTAGGGTATTAACAAGTTCCTCTGGGATCACTGTATCCACTGTTCACCTTCCATCTGAAGTAGCGCCAGAGATTGACCCAGTGTTACTCACTTGTGCACAACAAGCACAACAGGAGGAACATTACAAGCAAGCAGAGCAGGCTGGTGGCCTTAAGGGAACTAGCAGGTGAACATACAATATAATTGTTTGAACAAACAGGGAATAAGCCCACAGGGCAGCTTCAGAATGATGTGTAAGAGTGAAAAATCACCAACTTCATTCTCTTTCTTCTTGTTCAAAGCACAGTTACGAGGAAGTCAACAGCAGCAACAACAACAAGCACCCCCATTCCCCTGCACTGGGCTAGCTGGGATAGCAATCTTGAACGAAAAAAAATGTATTATTTTGCAGCTGAGAYTGTTCTATATGTGTGGCACCAAGCCTGCACTTGTTAAGCTCATCCTGCTTCTGTATAGGGTAATATATTTTTAAAGGGGAACTCTTCCAGGTTTTATCACTCCTATACAGAGGCAGCATGAACYAAAATTAATAGTTTCCTAAGCTTGCAGTGGGCTACTGCAATTGCATGAGGCAGCGCAAAGTCATGGGAGAGAGCATCTAGACCGCAATACCCTGGCTGAAGGCAAACAGACGCAGCAGCCACTTAAGAGATTCTGGAATGGTTAAAGAAGTAGTTTTTCTTAAAAAGAATAACTCACGAAGTCTAATGCCTTCTAATAGCATGTTTTATGTGACACTGGAGCCCTTAAGGCAAATGAAGAGCTGAAGAGCAGGCTTTGCCTATCACAGTACATGCACTTCAGTAAGAGGCTTTGGCGYGCTCTTGTTTGCAGTGAAGCTGTGTCAGGGAACAGTAGTTGGTTCTTCCAAAATTCTACAAAACTGCTTTGTTTGAAAGATAGCATTTCTCTGTCAACCTTTAATACCACATTCAAACTCAAACCTGCTACTAAGTCAACTACAAAACAGTTGTTGGGATTTCCACATGGCACCGTGGAAGTCATGCCAGTCCAGAGCTGGGTCTCTCCTCTCTTTCCTGCTCATCCCCATCTGGATACACGGTAAGATCCAGAGTCAGTACTTGACTGAACATAACGTCGTCGTGCTGAGAAAAAGTATCACACAATTTAGAACAATTTAGTTAGTTTAGTTTTGTTATTTGAAACAAGCATTTCCTAACTGACCAGGAGACACAACAAGCTTGAGTCAGCCCAAGTGCTCTGCTAGCCAAGTCACTATTTGTATTTACTTCAGACGGCAAATAAAGGGGTTCAAATCCAACATCGCAGGTACTTACATAATGATTAGCTGTATGATTAACTGAATGTAGAAATTCTTAAGTGGTAAATCCATACTTAAAAAAAAACACTTCGTATTTTCTGATAAGGTTCTAAGTAAGAAATAATTAATTGTTACCTCTGGACACACTCCAATTAATGCATCTGCTTTGCAGTAAAACTCCTCCTTTAGTGAAATGACTGTCATTTGAATCTGTTCATGGGCCTGGTCTCTGATGAAGCTTGATACCTTTGGAGAGAAGCCAAATACTTCAGCAAGTTAGTTCTGGCAGGCTTACAGCACCCTGCAATTACTSTAATTAGGAAATGGCCAGAAGGAACTGAATTCCGTTAGCGGTAGAATTCATAATTCTATTATGAAATAAGCAGGATAAAATGAGGAACAGCCTCAGACAGCTTCTTTGCATGTTCTTAGCACTCAGATTTGCCCCTTTTTAAAGGTGCATGAAAACAACCATTTATTCCTAAGATTAGGGTTACAGAAAAACATCACTGTCAATGAAGAATATTTTACTTAATATTATTTGTAAGGTAGGTGAAAATTCCCGAATAAGAGAGCAGGAATGAGATGGCAGTTACTGGTTGTATACAAAAATTTTAAATATGCAATTTCCATGGATCTACAAAGTGAAAGGCACAGAAATTAAGCTACAAATTGGAAGCTAGATAAGACAATATCTCACAGTGGAAGTTAAATGCTGAATAAAGAATGAACTGTATTAAAAACTGAGCTGATGTTTTAGTGCAGTTTTATCTGGAAGGTGCCAGATAATTTTCTACTGTTGGATAATTTTCTACTGCTTAAATCCAGTTAAGTTGTTCATTTGATGGGCTAAATCAATTGTTGGAAGTTTCTCTAGTAAATCCTTAAACAAAACAAGAGAGGAAAGAAGAATATGATGTAGTTCTAAGTAAATTCTGTGGATGCCAGTAAGTACTAGCAACATACTGTATTTCCAAATGGTAGATTAGACTGAGCATATCATTTTGCTCACTTGCAATATTTAATTCCTCTGTCTGAAGATTCTGATGCTTTCCAGTAATGAGTCATCTTATAGATGAGGGGAAAAAAAAAAAAAAGATGAAAGAGCAGGGAAACCTTATTAATACTTCTTGCAGAGCACTGCCATTTTGC